AAGAACCCCCTCCCTGAAAAACGTTTCAATGTGAATATATGCTCGGTTGTTTTGCCGCCCCCCCCCCCCCTTGTGTTGCGGTATGAATATGTGCACAAACAGGGCGTTATCATCGTCGTGTTTTGTGTGAAAAGTTACTTACATGTCAAGAATCATGCATGTCTCGAGTCTATGTAACTCAACTTAGAAAAGTCACTTACCAAATATGCAGCTACCAGTCCGACCCCGGTGGACAGAGTTCCCATAGAGATCCCACGCCGATTTTTACGCCAAGTTGTAGACCAGATAGGGCCCTCTTAGGTCCGAATGATTCGCCGGTCAGGTATTCCATATTTTTTGAGACCATCACAGCCTAAAATCGGAGATTTAGGAAAAATGCTAATTTTCACAGGCTCGCCACCAACGAAGACTTTGCTTGGGGAAGCTGAAATTTTTACTGTGATCAAGTATGATCGTGCTGTTTCTAAACCCAAAATTTCAAAATAATATCATACAGCAGTCGTGAGATATGAGACCACAAAGATTGCTAAAATAGCAGTTTTTTTGTCAAAAAGCAGTCTCTGCAGAAAATCGAAAGAGCAACAGATTTATTTGAAAATTTCTGTGGTGATAGCATCGCTCGACATCAGTATTTGTACAAAGTTTCAGCTTAATTTGTTAAGTCGTTCTCGAGATATAGTGGTAACACTGACCCAATTTGTTATGATGTCGAATTTCAGGGCTTTTCGCAAAACTTCAATAAAAAATCATAGGTTCATTATTTTTTGATGCGGCTTGCGCAGAACATCATTAAACAGTTGTGTCTATCACATATATTAGAATGAATGAGATTGGAGACATACAATTGAGTACTGTCGGTCGTGGCTTACGTGCAATGGCTCTTATGTCAAAAAGTCGTCATTAGCTGGCGTAATATCAGCAGGAAGAATAACTTTTTAAATTTCTATGTATATACAATTGATAATTATATTTTTTAGTTGTCAGTCAATATAAACTGTTTGATCTTAAACAGATATATAAATAATTCTATAAAATAATATTTCATTTATATTTTTGTTAAATAAAGTATACTAAACTAACGTTTAATTTTTTTAATGAATAATATTGAAATAAATAGATGACATGACATATCTATGTTATAAGAACGATCTATATTCAATTAAATATAGAATATCAATTAATTAGTTAACTGCTTTATTATTTAACCAAAATAAATATTTTAATCTGATCGACAATATTATTATTATTATTTGATAAATAAATCTAAATTATTTAAATTGTTTATTGTTTTAATAATATATTTATCAATTGATTGCCTCGTTGTTGTTAATTTTATATTAGAATATATAAATTAAAATAAAATAAAATCTATCATCGATTATTTTCGACTAATATCTTTATATAATAAAATAATAGTTAAAATAAATTAAGATTTTTTGTTTTGTTTATTGATTCGATCAAACGATTATTTAACAAAAAAGAGAAAAGAAAAAAGAAAAAATAATTTCTATCTTTATTGAATATTTGTGATAATTTATAAAGAGTCTCATTGTAATAGTGTTTAAAATGGTTTCAAGTTGACTGTTTAATCGTGAGATTAGCCATTTTTAAGTTTTATCAGTGTGAATAATATATATTCTCTGTTCAAAATCTATCTATATGTTCTACTGATTAATTAGATTTTGTTTATTGAAAACAACAATAAAAATAAAAATAAAAATAAAAACGAAAAAAAAAAAGATGACTTTATTGTTATTATTTGGTGTTGAGTTCGTTTTGAAATAAATGTTGAATAGTTGTGTTATATGATGTGATATAGAATGAAATAAAATAATATAAGATAATGTTAAGGTAAAATATGTTATTTTTTATAATTTATTCTCGAATAATTATTTAATAAATAAAATATAAAAGAATTTTTTTGGTTAAATTTAAAATAAATTCAATATATTATGTTAATATTTGAAATAAAGATAAAACGATCATATTAAATAATAAAGGTAAATAAATTGATTAAAATCAATTTTAATCTTCATTTCTATATTGTTAAATTCTATAGAATTTATTTTGAAAATTTGATTTTAATTATTTGTAAAAGTCAATAAAGATATAAAATAAATAAATATTATATATAAAAAATGAAAAAAGTAAAATTCAAATTAATGATAGCCAATCATCTGTAATAGCCCAAATTCGTTGAAAAATGAATTGATTTAAAAAAATTTGATTTCCTTTATAAACTCTATGAAGAATATCTGTTTGTTTAAAATGTTTTGATTTAAATATTTGAATAGCATTTCTATTTAATTCTGGTATTGATATTAACATCATTCCATCATAATCTGAAGCACAACGTTTTAATAATAATAAAGCAATATTTATATTATCAGCATATAATGGTCCACATTTAATAAATAATTGACTAAAATTTAAAATAACATAACCTAATATAGAATTTGTTTTTTTTGAACGTGCAACATAACCAGCTATTGAATAAATATGTTCACGTAATTGTTCAAAATATTCAATACGATATGTTGGATAAATTTTATGATCATAACTTGCTATATCAAGTATATCAGATAATTCATATAATTCTATATTTATATCTTCATCAATTTGAATTTTTCTATTATAAAATTGACTAAGTTTTCCAACAAAACCAACTAAAGAAAATGATACTTGAAAATCATAACGAATATAAAAAGGTAAATGTTCTATTAAAATATTGGCATTAATTGAATTTATTTCTTCTGAATTAATATTAAAAATATAATTTGTTAATAATTCTCCAATACCAAATTTTCTATAATCATAACGTACATAAATAAGACCAATCATTATAATTGATGTTATTTTACCATCATCATCATTTATATTCCATTGTTTAATAGATCCATGTCCTATTATATCTTGTTTACATTTAATTATATAACAAGTATTTGGTCGAAATGAAAAAAAATACATTGAATAATCAATAGATGCACGTTGAAATATTAAACAATCATTTAATAAAACTTTTATATCATATATATCACCAGATAATACTGGTTGAATAAATAAATTAATTGATTCGATTTTTTCATTTCTAATCATATTAATAAATACATTTTTCTTTATTTTATTTTTATTATAAATATTCTCTTGAGATTTTATATAATCATTAGTTTTTTTTTTTTTTTTAATAGATTAATCTTTTTATTGTTTTTTCTTTTTTCCTTAATCGATTTTTTTGCTTTGAATATTTTTACTATTTCTCTACCAAAATAATGAAAACTATAATATTTCTTCTCTTTTGTCTTACCTATACAACCAAAATGAATATTGACTTGTCAATATTGATGATGATATTTTATCACAAGATGATGTTTCACCAATAGATTCATGATCCGACATTATCGACGAAAAACACGTATCAATTTAAGATAAAACAAACAAAATGAATATATTATTTGACAATGTTTTAACTTGAATATATGCATATGCATTATCAATTGTGACATTAAGTGTCTCGGGTTAACACGACGCAATAATCCGTATAGAAATATTTAGCCTTGTTTTAGTATAACAATTCCATTAGAAATAAGAGTAACATCAACAAAATCATAAAAGGAAAAAAAAAATGACAAGAATTAGTATTTCTTTTTTGCTTTCTCTCTCTCTCTCTCTTTCTCTTTCTATCGTTCATCGATCTAATATTTACATTTTTTATCTGAATACAATCAATTCGGACGAGTCTTTTTCTTTTCAATTGTAACACAAGACAATACTATTATACAAATAACAATCACAGAATGCAAAACAAACAACAACAACCATTCTCTACTTCTTGTCATCCTCTTCTTCTTCTTCTTCTTCTTCTTCTTCTTGGTCTATTCAATGATATCAACCTTTTTTTTCTTGTTTATTCTTAGTTGTATACAACAAAAAGCTAGTTGATAATCTCGAAATAGAATTTAATTGATAAAATATTTACGATTAAAATGGAAAAAAAGTATTTTGAAAAAAAAAAAAAGAAAATATACAGATCGATATTTGTTATTTATTTGTTAATTAACGAAGAAAAAAAAAACTAGTATAGAGATTAAATGAAGAAGATTGATTATAAGAAGAAAAAAAAATAAATATAATAATTATATTGATATAATATATAAATAGTTATGTATTATGATTATTTAATGTTGATTTATTAACTTTTTCATAATTTTCATCAATTGATTTAATATTTGCATTTTCAATAATCCATTCATGTTTAATAACTTCATTTAATGGCATACGATCTAATGGATTACGACGAATTAACTACAATTATATATTATTATTTTATTAATATTTATATTTTAAGAATTTTACTTGACTAATAATATGACGAGCATTATTTGATATTGTTGAGGGATATGATAATTCATTTGTTCGAATAAGTCGTATTGTATCTTG